TAAATAACCGCTGGAATGAAATTGTGTTGCGCCGCTTCCCGATGGGAAATACTGAAAGAGAGCGGCTTTATTCCACCCCTGAAACTCCCTCAAGACGCTCGCACACACAAAAAAAGCCTCCTGTCTCTGTCTAAAGATTAACTGATGGCCTCAGGCACATCCCTTCCCCCAGCTCCCCCTCCCTGCCCCAGGGACAGAAAACACCCTGGAATGGGCTCCTGATAAAGCGGCCCCAATGAATGGCACCGCTCCGGGACGGAGCCGGGCAGGGCCGGGATGGAGCCCCCGCCGCCCCCTCAGTTCCCTTTCCCTTTCTCCCCAGAATTATCGGGATGGAGCTGGAATCACCCTCGGGAGACGCGCGGCTGCTCCGGGCCCTGCTCCTGCTTTGAGACGGGAGCACAAAATTAACGCGCAGCCGCTGATCCCAATTAGCTGCCCCTGGGAAGTGCGGGAGGGTTTTGGTGGGGGGAAAAAAAATACAACCAAAGGAGCTAAAAGGATTTAGGACAGGAAACTGATGGATTAAACTCTGTGGTAGATGCCTTTTTTTTTGCCTTTTTTTTTTCTCCCCTCGGAATTGGTATCTAGAGTTTAATTTTACCGGTTTGTGGTGGAAAATTAGGAGCAAACATGGTTATTTTGGCAGGGAAATGTCTTTATTTTGATTTTAGCTGAGATCGGTAGGGGTCCTTGGGGATATGGCACCAGATGATGGGGAGGGAGCCAGAGGAAAGGCTCGGTGGTGTTTTGTTAAATCTCTGTTTTGTTAAATCTCTGTGCTCTCCCCGAGGGCTCCGGAGGCATCGCCCTCCTTATCTCGGCACCCGGGGCTGAGCAGGAGCCCTTTGCCGAGCACTCCCCGTTTGTGGGGTGCAGGAGGGAGGATTCCTGCTCCAGGCCCTCCCCAAAAGCCGAACCCCAACAGCAGCAGCGTCCCTGGAGCTCCTGGCACCGGGAAAGATTGGCTGTGATTTGAGGACATTGGCGGTGTGGCTTGGGGACATTGGTGGTGATTTGGGGACATTGGCTGTGTGGTTTGGGGACATTGGCTGTGGGATCTGGAGATATTGGCTGTGTGGTTTGGGGACATTGGCGGTGTGATTGGGACAGGGCTTTGCCTTTGGGGACAGGGACGATCCGGGCACAGGCTGTGGGGCCAAAGGGACATTTCCCTGTTGGATTGGGGACTTGGTCACTGCTCCAGGCTTGGGCCGCTGGAGCTGCAGGACTGCACTGGCCACAT